AGGTTGCTGTTCTGTGGACACAATCGACGCGGAACCGAGAGAAGCAAGCTCAGGATATTTGAAATTGATTTATTAATTATATGATATCAAACTCCAGGTAAAAGCATTTATTCTTTTCATCCAAAATTTTTCTGCCCAAATATTACATTGGGATACAAAACAAACTTACGGCACAACTTACGGCACAAGCTATCAGCGGTCTTCTCTTTTGTGCGGACCTTTGTGAGAACAGTATAACATCGAACTGGATCTAAATTTAAGCCATTATTTCTTCACTTCAGAAGCCTAAAACCTTCATTTCTCCCTCAGTTTCCAGACGTGGAGAGTTTATATTCTGATTTTGGAAAAAATTCAGCTCTGCAGCGATGTTAAATGGGTGATTCACCGCGAAATGTGGCCAATTCCGACATTTGTTTTGATACCACGAATCACGATGGATGCCGTCTACTTTTCGAAGGCAATACCTAGCTATTTGTTGAAGTTATCATGGATTTCACCAATTTGGTTATTAGAAAAATTCTAAAGTGAGCCATGAAGCCGGGCTGCAAAGCGGGTAAGCTGTATTTATGACAAAATCTGCTCCAGTGGTTCCATTTTGGTGTAGGCGAAAGAATCGCGAATGCTCGTACATGTGCTGATTCAAACGGTCATAACTTTTGAAAAATCGAAAGCGTACAGGGGTTTTGCTTATTTTTGCCTATAAAGGTCTAAACTTAACGGCTGTGTAGGAAAGAATAGTCAACCAGGTCCCAAATCCCAAAACTTAACGTCTAAATCAAGGTTATTTACGGCCATCGGCCGATGGCGATTTCTAGTGGTCAGAATATGCTAAAATTCGCCTTTTCAATTATATTGAGAGGGCAAATTCTAACTTTCTTGGCAAACTAGAAAGGTTTTTATAAGCAATCTGATATAAATTCTGTGGCCTAACTATGCGAATCAAATATGTTACAATGTTACAAAATATGCCTATTTTTCAATTTTCGAGACGTTGCGACGGTCCCTACGGACTGGGAAATAATTATGGCCCCTAATGCAGTCAGAAAATTATTTCGAATCAAACCAAATCTAATTTAGTTCTTTCCTAGGTAAAGTCTTTCTGTTGACAGAGTTTCAGGCAAAATTATTTTTGATGCAAAATTGACCGGGTAGAAATAAGAGAGACAGCCTCTTAATAATTCAGAGTAAGGTAACCAGTAACTGTTAAATTCACATTTAAAATTAATTCTTTCAAGTCGTGATGGGCGTCTCATTAACATTAAGTTCCTAAATATTGAGTGCAGATTTAGGATGACATTCTTTTGGTTATTGAGAATGTTCTGTTTTTTGTGGAGGCTGATACATTGTAGCTTCATTCAGTCAGTTCAAAGGAAACAAAGGTTTTCTAGTTCATACATTAATTTAAGATTGCCCAGTTAAACTTTCAGAGTGAATTATTTTGAAGCTTTTTGATGATTTTTTTTTTTGCACAGAAAAAATAGTTATTTCTTTGTACACTTGTCAGTAGGCTCGCATTTGTCTTGTTCTTGTGTGCACTTTAGTCACGGGACAAAACTAAGTTGTGTGATCAAATATGACTGGTGGCCATGTTTGCTGTGTAAGGTTTTTCTTAGCTCAGGAGGGGCTCATGTATGTTGATCCTCAAACTGACGAAGATGAAATATACAAAAAGACTATCAAAGTCTCAACATAGAGGAAAATTTACACCTTTAGTAGGTTGGTCGAGCTACAAAGTTCAAATGTTAAAATCAGTTGGTCGAATACGATGGTGGAAGTAGCTAGTAGCGATTAATGAGTTTATACTAGAGAAATGGCCCACTTTTGTCACTCTTTCACTCTGGGTAAGTTAAGTGGCTAAACTTTAGCTTCAGTTAAGTTCAATTGACTTTTGATGATGTTCTTTTTACTGCTTAATGTAAAAGTGAGTGGCAAGAATTGAGCCTTTCTCCAGAATATTTTTTATTTTTTTGTTTTATCTTGATGATCCGGAAGTGTAGGTTTGATTTGATTCAATATTTATTATATCCTGATGATAACACACAATGTCAACCTTTTAATCAACTTTTTCATCATGAAATACAAGACAGAAATTTAGTTGAAACAGATAGCTGTTTGAGTAAGAAAATGGAAGAGTATACATTGTCGTATTTCCTACAACAGTATTGTCTACATGTTGGAATTACCCATGCCAGCACGGGGTCTAGATAGGTGCATGACTATTTTCACATGGGGTTTTCAAGTACATGGAAGCCATTGCCGACCTCACAATAACTCATGGTCTATTGCAGGGTTACCTCCTCCCCACCCCCCAACCAGTACCCATATTTACATCTGGAAGAGGTGAGGCACTTCCAAGCTTTCAGTATCTTGCTCAAGAACACGATGCAATACTCCAACCCTAGAGCAAAAACTGGACTGCTTAATGGCGAGTCCAGTGCACAACCATTCAGCCACCATGCCTACTCCTCTGATCCTTAGATGGGAGGGAGTAATTGTACGGTCTATCAAAGAGTGGGGATCTAGGGAAAAGCTTACATTTCGTTTGCTGACCTGTATTCGAAGGGTCACAAGCTTAAACGATACTCTGCGGAATGTGTCATATTGTTTTGCTGTCCTGCCACTGTTAAAAATAAATAATGAAATAAGTAACTAAAAGTTATAAAAATTCACAATAATTTCAGTTTACTGCACTTTTCCTTTGACGAATTTAAACTGGTCTTGTCCGTCTTGACACAGACCATTACCATTGAGTGTATCGCTTCTGCAATAGTTTGTACTCTCTCAAGACGGAAAATCATTTTCAAAAATAAATATTTTCATCGTTTTAGGATGTTTTTGTGGTGTGTTAGAACATTCTTTTTTTTTTTCAATTTTTTTTTTACAACTGTTGCAATTCTATGAGAAACTGCAAATGCGATCAAAACTAATGGGCCAAAGGTCGACGTTTTTATCCTACTGATGTCTGACGTAAACTATGCTTCAGTGTGGATTTAAGGCCACCTCGACACTGTGATGGCAAAACGCCACGAAGAAAGCCTAGTGGTGCCCTTTAAGACTTTATCACAACCGATGCAACTCTATTATTTCGTAAATTTTTGCCAGATTTTCCTCGCATTAATTGTTTAGGGAGAACAATTATCGTCCTATTTCGACTCAGGAAGTTTTCCCATCTTAATCGTCTTGATACGATGAAGAAATGTGCCACTGAGTTTCATAGAAACTTAGAAGTACTGTTTGTCTCTTTCTAAAGACACTGTTTCCTTTTGTTTCTTTCTTTTATTTTGTACTTTTTTTGGACTGCCGTTGGCTTGAGGTTTCTCAGATGTCACGGTGCACATGATTAAACACCCTGGGCACAGATCTATCCATAAGTAATGAAAGTATTCCATTCTTTGCACTTATGAAACAGGAAACGGTTTCGGAAGTACGAGTACCCATTGATGTGTTAAATAGTAAGTATAAATGTCTGCAGCAGCGACTTATAAAGAACTTTGGAGAGCAAAGGAAGTGGTCGTGAAGAAGAAATGGAAATAAGGTGTAAAATGAGTTACTGTAGGCACAAACGGAATGTCACACGTGTTGTTGGTACGGTTTTCAGAGTGTGGTACGGTATCAGTATATCAAAGAGCCCACGATACCTTACACCGAGGCTTTAACATAACGCTGGATGGAATCAGGAATAATAGGGTCGAGTATTTTTAATAACTTTTCTTTGATTAAAGTAATGGTCATTATTAATGATCGTCAAGGTCCTCACTTAGATGTGATGAACTATTCATTCCCGCACAACCCTTAGTTATTATCGTTGACGAACGATTCCCAAAACTCTAGTGTTGTGAAATATGTTTTGAACAGCTTCTATCACTTAATTCGGTTAAAAATGCAGCTAGTGTGGCAAAAGAATGGCAGGTCTTTAAATAAATTACTTTGAATGATTACGAAGACTACTTCGTAATCATTTAAAGTAATTAAAATAAAGGTGGTCAAAACTAAAATCACTAAATTCCGTCGTCATTAGCGTTGTCAGTAAATAGCCCTCAGGTCAAGGACGAGAAACAACGGCAAGTTCCAGACACCTAGAAGAGTTCAAGCGTGGAAGTCAGTGAAAATTGTATTCTTGCTGAGGAGAGGTTGTACCGAGCAATAGCGCTGAGGACAAAATGAGTTTGGGCGTCGAGAGAAAAAGATGTGCTTAAAACAAGATCCATGAAGCGTTTCTTTTTTTTTTTTTTCTGTGTTGTGCGACAACTGTATCGTTAGGCAATTAACTTCTACAGTAAATTTCCGAGATGAATCTGATGAAAAGAATTGGGCGCAGCGTACACGTGGAAAGGCGTCTTTATCAGATGTTGACGAACAGTTGCAGACAAAGTGGATGAGTGGATGAAATGAGCCTGGTCACAATATTCTGATAAGACCTCCTTGGAATTTTATGGTATACCACAGGAAGTAAACATGTCAACAGGCCAAGTGGTATTCAAAGTTGCCGAGGCCGTTGAGGCCTCACATAGGACACAAATGGAACTCTGAGGAACTGATTATATTTTAGAAGCTATAGGGGAAAAAGGAAAATTCGCGTAAATAACACAACAACTAGGAGACTGATAAGCATATAAGCAATTGTAATTTTTTCGTGCATTTTTCCTTGTATGATTGCCTTTACGCGCGAAATATTTTAAGGTATGCTTTTGTTTTCTAAGGGACGAGCACACCAGAAATATAATATTCCACCTCAAAAATGAATGCAGCGTTGTGCAAGAAGAACAACAAGTTAAAGTTGTGTCTTTAAATTTTATAGGTTTGAGAAATCTTTGCAAAGGGTATTTACGGTGAAAGAAAGGGTCAAAGAAAGGAAAGGTGGTAAAGGTTGAAATTCAGGTTAGGAGAAATGAAATAACCAGTGTTAAGCTCCAAACTAAAACGAGACAAAGAAACTAGATCTGGCAACTGACATTTATTTCATATTAGTGTTAGCCATCAGAGACTGTTTTCAACAGAATTTAAGGTAAAACGCAAACTTCGCCATGAAGACTCTCTTCGATATACAGTTGAGGCCAACTAATGACGTCTCCTTGGCCAACGGTACAAGTCTGGGCCTCATTTATAATGTCAGTGTCCGACCGAACCTCATCAAATACATTCAATCCAGACACTGTACCGAACCAGGACTTGCTTGCTTCGAAATCTCCTCCAAGTGAGTTTTGGACTTGTCCAACGACTGCGCTACCTCCGTGACGAATCGAGGTTCCCTTTTGAAAGCCAGAGCCATCCCCGACTACTTCTCCATCCATCCAGAATTTATAATCTCCGTTGTCGCTGCTCCATGTGAAACAGAGGTGGTGAAATGACCCATCACCAGGAATGCCTTTCAAAGAATTCCTTTCGAAAAAAAGAAAAAGGAAAGGAATTAGAAATTAGGACAAAAAAAAGATAACGTAAACTATGATGCGTTTTATGAAAGTTGATAAAAATGCTTTTTTGAAACATGGAATTGCCTCTTCCCTCCACCTCCTCAAAATGTTAATCCTCGGATAAAACATAGAGCAGTTTCATTCTTGCTTACATACAATGAGAAGTTTGAGAAAGATATTGCAGGTGTTTTTCAAAAGCGAAAGCAAGGAATTTTTTATATTTGACTATTGCGATACTATTCTATTCCTATAGGATAAATTAGCACAGAGTTGACTAAACCTCGTCTCGTTCCGGATGAGCACTCGGAAATAGGGACGTAAGCAAAGGATCAGTTCATGGGGTTCTTCTTGGGTAGCGTAGCTGAACACACATTTTTCATCTTCGGAACCGCGAGAAAACCAATTTGCAATCATGCAGACTGAAACAGCAGGCAGATCATTCCTGATCGCATTTTCTTTCATTGCATATTTCGTGATGTGGCCTTCTAAAAACATGACTTTGTCTGAAAGGTAAATACAATTGTGTTTAGTTGTAGAGAATTAAAGCACCCCTGTGTTATGTATGCTGACTATGCTGAAGCTATCATTTAGCGGAAAGAATGAAAAGAGAATGCATTAGACAACTACTGCGTCAAGGACGAATAATAACCTTTCCCATCAAAATCAAAAGCTTCTTGGAAATTGTAACTTCAAATCAATTATTTATGTTATGTTTAGCGTAAAATACACGTCGAGGTGCACATCGTTTGTAACAACGATTCTGAAATTACATCGCAATCTTTCTCGCATGGAATCGATCGATAACGGTAAAGTGTAAGTCTAAAATTGAACGAGTCGATGCCGATGAAGAATTGGGTCACGAAAAGCTGGTCGTCATTATAGATAAGCGAAACATAATTTGATAGTTTCAGTCCTACCCCTTTCCTCTCTCCCATGCCTAAATCTCTTACTTTACATTAGAGCCCAAGGATACCTATATTGGGTAATTGAGTTTTCAACAAAAACCCCTGGCTTACCATTACGCAACGTGCGACTTTGAATATCCAACAAATAAGTCTCGGAGGTCAGATAATATAGATAAAGCTGAGCCTAAAAGTGGGGTTCCAGTCAATTAATTCTTCTACCCTTCACCTCATTAGAACTCCTCACAGGCTGTTGAAAAGTCTATCCATATAAATTTATGGACCAGTCAGGTACATGGGGGAGGGGAGGGGGAGGGGGGAGAGGGGATTATTGTATGGTCTATCGAAGAGTAGAGGGTCCAGGGAAAAGCTCGCATTTCATTTGCTGACCTGACTTCCAAGGCCGACATACGTCATTTTGCGTGTCCTCGAGCTTTCTGTCCTCCGTGGGCAATGCTGAAACAAATACACCAGCGAGCAGCCAAGTAGTTATCCAAAGGGAATTCATTTCTGCTCTGTTTCTGCGACGTTGGGAAAGAAAGAAAAATTGTTAAAATGTCGCTTGGCAATGAAACGCAGTTAAAGGCAGGGTATTTAAGAAAACCGAAATCCAGCAAATTATTTATCGATATGCTTCTTTCTTCTCTTTTTCCTTGTTTGCACGCTATTAAATATTGTGGACATCACACAATAACAGTTTTAAACAGAAGTTTTAAAAGGAAGGTTAGTTTGAGAAAGTAAATATTTTCCGATACACTGGCGGTATCGGTTAACAGCATCACAATCCTTACCTTTTTTCCCGAAACTTGTGACTTTCAGATGAAATGCTTTCTTTAAGTCTCAAACTCGAAATAATGAAAGATGTTTTTAACTACGCCTTTATAGATCCTGTGCGATTCGTTCTCAGTGCCTAAACTCCCTTCTTGATAAAAGGAGACAAAGGAATGCTTTCGGATGGATCTGTTTCTTGGCTACCAAACTATTAACGTCTGAGGTGCCTGGTAATTTCCTAGTTTCAAATTGACCATGCTGAGCTAACGATAAGAAATTATTGAATAACTACAGGCGGCCAAGCTCTAGCTGTGAGATGATCATCTTGCGCAATAGGAGTCATGGCGAAATCATAGGAGTTTGTATGGGAATATTTACGACCGCTCTTAGGAATACGTACTTACGTAGTAAACCTAGAAATGAATGACTCGCTATCCGATCAACATAGCAAGCGGTCAGATAACAAGCAGTACACTGTAAAAATTAAGGTGAGATATTTTTAATGAGAATTTGACTTTATTTTTTTTTCATTCCTTAAAGTGGTCGTAAATATTCCCATACAAACTCATATAATTTCACCATTACTCTTATTTCGCAATAAGATCATCTCACAGCTGGAGCTTGGGCGGCCTGTGGAAGCTGAAAAGAAATTGATTCAGTACAAATTGTAACGTCACGACATTGAGTACTTCAGCGAAAGTCAGGATCAAAACATTACATCACAATCCTTCCCTTTTTTTCCGAAACTTGGGACTTTGAGAAAAAAAGTGATGAAATGCTTTCTCCAAGTCTCAAACTCAAAATACTGAAATGTATTTTCAACTACACCACCTTTATAGATCCTGTTTGAATCGTTCTCAGTGCCTAAACTCCCTCCGTGATAAAAGGAGACAAACAAATGCTTTCTGATGGATTTGTTTCTTGGCTACCAAACTAGTAACGTCTGAGGTGTCCTTTAGTTTTTTTATTTTTTTGTTTTTTCTGTCTGCAATTTCCTAGTTTCAAATTGAACATGCTGAGCTAACATTAACAAATTCTTGAATAACTCAAAAGAAATTGATTAAGTACAAAGTATAATGTCTCAAAACTGAGTAATTTAGCAATAGTTAGAATCAAAACATTTCACAATCAAACATTGAGATAAAATAGAAAACTCAAAGACTATTTATAGCCTGTTTAAATCTTTCCCAAAGCGAAAACGTTCTAGCTGAACGTGAGCATGTCAAAGCGTCAAAATACTTGGGTACGAATATAAATGTGAAATAAAATTTAAAAAATCCTGTTATTATAGCAACGATAATAGTAAAAATGATAATACCGTTGTGCTAAGTTATTTCCAGGCTGTGGAATAACTGAAAAGAAATTGATTTCGTCTCGCTCTCACGAGCACTTCAGCGAAAAAAGACATGTTTGCATCTAATTCCATTATCGTTGACTTAATAAAGAAGTTTAGACAACTTCAAAATATTGATTTTGGTAAAAATTCGAATCAAGATAGTTTGAAGTTTTTCCATTGAAAGCGACTCTGTTCTCGCAGATTGAAACACTTGCTGTAAAAAATTTCCTTCAAAGGTTTTTAAAAGAATGTTTGTGGGATTCAAGTTTTATTACCTTTTCTACGAAGTTGTTTTTTCTCGAAAATTCTGCCCTCATGCACTTCAAGGAAGGAGAACGAAAGTGCCAGCCACATCTAAGGGTTGGGTGAAATGACATAACTGTGTTGAAAAAAAAACTTCTTTCTTTGCCCTCACGCTGATCATTTGATCACAAACCCCAGACAGACTAACTTGCAAATGAATACTGTATCTTTTAAAAGTGTTACCTATTTTTCTACTATTTGTAATTATTGTAACTATTTCAGATCAATCTCTATGAGAAAAAAAGGACCATGAATCAATACGCCTATTGACTTATTGGGTCGGAAAGTTCTAACACGAAACTGAATTGACTTTATGGAAGGAGTGTTCTATATGGTCTTTTCCAAGTTAATTTTTTGGGACACCTTGTTTGAGAATGGTAGCGGTTGTTTTGAAGAAGATATAAAAAGCGACAAAACCCTGACTACTCATTCATATTACTTTTGCAATTTGCCAACTCCTGAAGATTTGCAAAGCAGTTCTACTTAACTGAAAAATGTTACTGGATAATCAAAACATTCATTACGAAAATTCTTGAAGGCAAGTGTTGAATCTATATTACAAAAACATTCTGAGACCGGCGCTCAGCATTGTGTTACGATCGTTGTTTCGACGTTATTTTCCCCAAACCCGTTCCATAATTTTTTCGCGATAAACACCGGAAGAAATACCTGTGAAATAATGGCTGATATACCGTTGTAACTGGCTATTCCTTACATTTTCGTTGGGTCTGAATTTCTTGGTTTATATTACAAAAACATTCTAAACTGGCGCTCAACGTTGTGCTACGATTGTCGTTTCGACGTTTTTTTCCCATGATCTTCAGTCTTCAGGAGTTGGCAAAATTGCAAGAGTAATATGAATGAGTAGTCAGGGTTTTGTCGCCTTTTATATCTTCTTCAAAACAACCGCTACCATTCTCAAACAAGGTGTCCCAAAAAATTAACTTGGAAAAGACCATATAGAACACTCCTTCCATAAAGTCAATTCAGTTTCGTGTTAGAACTTTCCGACCCAATAAGTCAATAGGCGTATTGATTCATGGTCCTTTTTTTCTTATAGAGATTGATCTGAAATAGTTACAATAATTACAAATAATAGAAAAATAGGTAACACTTTTAAAAGGTACAGTATTCATTTGCAAGTTAGTCTGTCTGGGGTTTGTGATCAAATGATCAGCGTGAGGGCAAAGAAAGAAGTTTTTTTTTCAACACAGTTATGTCATTTCACCCAACCCTTAGATGTGGCCGGCATTTCCGTTCTCCTTCCTGAAGTGCATGAGGGCAGAATTTTCGAGAAAAAACAACTTCGTAAAAAGGGAATAAAACTTGAATCCCACAAACATTCTTTTAAAAACCCTTGAAGGAAATTTTTTACAACAGGTGTTTCAATCTGCGAGAACAGAGTCGCTTTCAATGGAAAAACTTCAAACTATCTTGATTCGAATTTTTACCAAAATCAATATTTTGAAGTTGTCTAAACTTCTTTATTAAGTCAACGATGATGGAATTAGATGCAAACATGTCTTTTTTCGCTGAAGTGCTCGTGAGAGCGAGACGAAATCAATTTCTTTTCAGTTATTCCACAGCCTGGAAATAACTTAGCACAACGGTATTATCATTTACTATTATCGTTGCTATAATAACAGGATTTTTTAAATTTTATTTCACATTTATATTCGTACCCAAGTATTTTGACGCTTTGACATGCTCACGTTCAGCTAGAACGTTTTCGCTTTGGGAAAGATTTAAACAGGCTATAAATAGTCTTTGAGTTTTCTATTTTATCTCAATGTTTGATTGTGAAATGTTTTGATTCTAACTATTGCTAAATTACTCAGTTTTGAGACATTATACTTTGTACTTAATCAATTTCTTTTGAGTTATTCAAGAATTTGTTAATGTTAGCTCAGCATGTTCGATTTGAAACTAGGAAATTGCAGACTGAAAAAACAAAAAAACTAAAGGACACCTCAGACGTTACTAGTTTGGTAGCCAAGAAACAAATCCTTCAGAAAACATTCGTTTGTCTCCTTTTATCACGGAGGGAGTTTAGGCCCTGAGAACGATTCAAACAGGATCTTTAAAGGTGGTGTAGTTGAAAACACATTTCAGTATTTCGAGTTTGAGACTTGGAGAAAGCATTTCATCACTTTTTTCCTCAAAGTCACAAGTTTCAGAAAAAAGGGAAGGATTGTGATATTATGTTTTGATCCTGACTTTCGCTGAAGTACTCAGTGTCGAGACGTCACAATTTGTACTGAATCAATTTCTTTTCAGCTTCCACAGGCCGCCCAAGCTCCAGCTGTGAGATGATCTTATTGCGAAATAAGAGTAATGGTGAAATTATATGAGTTTGTATGGGAATATTTACGACTGCTTTTAGGAATAAAAAAAATAAAGTCAAATTCTCATTAAAAATATCTCACCTTAATTTTTGCAGTGTACTGCTTGTTATCTGACCGCTTACTATGTTGATCGGATACCGAGTCATCCATTTCTAGGTTTTCTACATAAGTACGTATTCCTAAGAGCGGTCGTAAATATTCCCATACAAACTCCTATGATTTCGCCATGACTCCTATTGCGCAAGATGATCATCTCACAGCTAGAGCTTGGCCGCCTGTAGTTATTCAATAATTTCTTATCGTTAGCTCAGCATGGTCAGTTTGAAATTAGGAAATTACAGGGCACCTCAGACGTTAATAGTTTGGTAACCAAGAAACAGATCCTTCAGAAAGCATTCCTTTGTCTCCTTTTATCAAGAAGGGAGTTTAGGCACTGAGAACGAATCGCACAGGATCTATAAAGGCGTAATTGAAAACACCTTTGATTATTTCGAGTTTGAGACTTGAAGAAAGCATCTCATCTGAAAGTCACAAGTTTTGGGAAAAAAGGTAAGGATTGTGATGCTGTTAACCGATACCGCCAGTTTATCGGAAAATATTTACTTTCTCAAACTAACCTTCCTTTTAAAACTTCTGTTTAAAACTGTTATTCATCGTCTTTCTAGCAGGAGTGTGATGTCCACAATATTTAATAGCGTGCAAACAAGGAAATAGAGAAAAAAGAAGCATATCGATAAATAATTAGCTGGATTTCGGTTTTCTTAAATACCTTGCTTTTAACTGCGTTGCATTGCCAAGCGATATTTTAACAATTTTTCTTTCTTTCCCAACGTCGCAGAAACAGAGCAGAAATGAATTCCCTTTGGATAACTACTTGGCTGCTCGCGGGTGTATTTGTTTCAGCGTTGCCCACAGAGGACAGAAAGCTCGAGGACACGCAAAATGACGTATGTCGGCCTTGGCAGAAAGGTCAGCAAATGAAATGCGAGCTTTTCCCTAGATCCCCTACTCTTCGATAGACCATACAATAATCCCCCCCCTCCCCCATGTACCTGACTGGTCCATAAATTTATATGGATAGACTTTTCAACAGCCTGTGAGAAGTTCTAATGAGGTGAAGGGCAGAAGAATTAAGTGACTGGAACCCCACTTTTAGGCTCAGCTTTATCTATATTATCTGACTTCCGAGACTTATTTGTTGGATATTCAAAGTCGCACGTTGCGTCATGGTAAGTGAGGGGTTTTTGTTGAAAAATCAATTACCCAATATAGGTATCCTTGGGCTTTAACGTAAAGTAAGAGATTAAGGCATGGGAGAGAGAAAGGGGGTAGGACTGAAACCATCAAATGATGTTTCGCTTATCTATAATGACGACCAGATTTTCGTGACCCCATTCTTCATCGGCATCGACTTGTTCAATTTTAGACTTACGCTTTACCGTTATCGATCGATTCCATGCGAGAAAGATTATGATTTAATTTCAGAATCATTGTTACAAACGATGTGCACCTCGACGTGTATTTTATGCTAAACATAACATCAGTAATTGATTTGAAGTTACAATTTCCAAGAAGCTTTTGATTTTGATGGGTAAGGTTATTACTCGTCCTTGACGCAGCAGTTGTCTAATGCATTCTATTTTCATTCTCTCCGCTAAATGATAGCTTCAGCATAGTCAGCATACATAACACAGGGGTGCTTTAATTCTCTACAACTAAACACAATTGTATTTACCTTTCAGACACAGTCATGTTGTTATTAGGCAGCACCACGAATTATGCAATGAAAGAAGATGCTATCCAGGTGTATCTGCCTGCTGTTACAGTCTGCATGATTGCAGTTTCGTATTCTAACGATTCCGAAGTTGAAAAATGTGTGTTCAGCTACGCTACCCAAGAAGAACCCGATGAACTGCTTCTTTGCTTAAGTCCCGATTTCCGAGTGCTCATCCGGAGCGAGCCGAGGTTTAGTCAACTCTGTGCTAATTTATCCTATAGGAATAGAATAGTATCGCAATAGTCAAATATAAAAAAATTCCTTGCCTTCGCTTCTGAAAAACACCTGCAATATCTTTCTCAAACTTTTCATTGTATTTAAGCAAGGTTGAAACTGCTCTATGTTTTATCCGAGGATTAACATTTGAAGAAGTGGAGAGCAGAGGCAATTCCATGTATCAAAAAAGAATTTGCACCAACTTTGATAAAACGCATCATAGTTCACGTTATCTTTTTTTCTCCTAATTTCTAATTCCTTTCCTTTTTCTTTTTTTTCGAAAGGAAATGTGATAAAGGCATTCCTGAGGATGGGTTATTTCACCATATCTGTTTCACATGGAACAACGAAAACGGAGATTATAAATTCTGGATCGATGGAGAAGTAGTCGGGGGTGGCTCTGGCTTTCAAAATGGAACCTTGATTGCTAGCGGAGGTACCGCAGTTGTTGGACAAGACCAAGAAGCAATGGGAGGACCTTTCGAAATAGGCAAGTCCTGGGTTGGTGCAGTGTCTGGAGTGAATGTATGGGGAACGGTTAAGTCGGACACTGACATTAAATCTATGGCCCAGGAATGTTACGTTACCGACGGATCCATCATTTCTTGGCCTGAGCTGTATAACAAAGGCAGTCTTCATGGCAAAGTTTGCACTTTTCGTTAAATTCTGTTGAAAACAGTCTCTGATGCCTAACACTAATATGAAATAAATGTCAATTGCCAGATCTAGTTTCTTTGTCTCGTTTTAGTTTGGAGCTTAACACTGGTTATTTCATTTCTCCTAACCTGAATTTCAACCTTTACCACCTTTCCTTTCTTTGACCCTTTCTTTCACCGTAAATACCCTTTGCGAAGATTTCTCAAACCTATAAAATTTAAAGACTCAACTTTAACTTGCTGTCCTTCTTGCACAACGCTGCATTCATTTTTGAGGTGGAATATTATATTTCTGGTGTGCTCGTCCCTTAGAAAACAAAAGCATACCTTAAAGTATTTCGCACGTAAAGGCAATCATGCATGGAAAAATGCACGAAAAAATTACAATTGCTTATATGCTTATTAGTCTCCTCGTTGTTGTGTTGTTTACGCGAATTTTCCTTTTTCCCCTATAACTTCTAAAATATAATCAGTTCCTCAGAGTTCCATTTGTGTTCTATGTGAGGCCTCAACGGCCTCGGCAACTTTGAATACCACTTGGCCTGTTGACATGTTTACTTCCTGTGGCATACCATAAAATTCCAAGGAGGTCTTACCAGAATATTGTGACCAGGCTCATTTCATCCACTCATCCACTTCGTCTGCAGCTGTTCGTCAACATCTGATAAAGAAGCCTTTCCACGTGTACACTAAAAATCATCTCATCAGGTGGACTGCACGCAGTTCTTTTCATCAGATTCATCTCGGAAATTTACTGTAGAAGTAAATTGCCTAACGATACAGTTGTCGCACAACACAGAAAAAAAAAAGAAACGCTTCAGGAATCTTGTTTTAAGCACATATTTTTCTCTCGACGCCCAAACTCATTTTTTCCTCAGCACTATTGCTCGGTACAACCTCTCCTCAGCAAGAATACAATTTTCACTGACTTCCACGCTTGGACTCTTCTAGGCGTCTGGAACTTGCCGTTGTTTCTCGTCCTTGACCTAAGGGCTCTTTACTGACGACGCCAATGACGACGGAATTTAGTTAGAATATGTTTTGACCACCTTTATATTAATTACTTTGAATGATTACGAAGTAGTCTTCGTAATCATTCAAAGTAATTTATTTAAAGAGCTGCTATTCTTTTGCTACAGTAGCTGCATTTTTAGCCGAATTAAGTGATAGATCGAAGCTGTTCACAAATTATTTCACAACATTAGAATTTTGGGAATCGTTGGTCAACGATAATAACTGAGGGTTGTGCGGGAATGAATGGTTCATCACATCTCAGTGAGTACCTTGACGATCATTAATAATGATCATTACCTTAATCAAAGAAAAGTTATTAAAAATACACGACCCTATTATTCCTGATTCCATCCAGCGTTATGTTAAAGCCTCGGTGTAAGGTATCGTGGGCTCTTTAATATGCTGATACCGTACCGCACTCTGAAAACCGTACAAACAACACGTGTGACATTCCGTTTGTGCCTACAGTAACTCATTTTACACCTTATTTCCATTTCTTCTTCACGACCACTTCCCTTTTCTCTCCAAAGTTCTTTATAAGTCGCTGTTGCTGACATTTACAGCGGAGTTCGCAGAGCGTAGCCCCATAACTATACGAAATAGTAGTAAACCATCAAGCCGAAAAAATTTGATTGTACGACCGAACGACCGTACAAGGTACTACTTTTAGCATGCGCGGCCAACTGTACCACGGGCACTATCTTAGCCATTACGTAATGGAAGGGCTGGGGAGAAGGTAATACGCAGGCGCGATTGCGTGCGCAACTTGGATACCCCATCAGTGTGCGCCAAGAGACACCGTCAGATGACGATAAAGAGCGCATACTCTAACGTCGAGCTGTAGTGTAGCGTACAGCGGGCACACGATTAGGTATTGCAAGAGGGCTTCACGTGAGCTAGTAGATCAAATTTGCCACCCGCGTTTTGAGTGGGAAATCGAACTGATCAGGATGTAGTTGAACAGAAATTCTCGGTATTTTGCAATTTCTAAACAACGTAAAGCGAGTCCAGAAAATCGCGCAAGAAAGTTACAAAGGACGCCAAAATAGGCAGAATACGGCGAGAGGAACACTAAAGAGAACAATAAAGGGCATAAGTAAAAAGGCGAGTTTCTAGCGAAGAGCAACGCGAGAAGGAAATTCAAAGTCGCTTCTGAAAACAGACTGAAAAGAGGTCATCAACAATGAGAAGCGAACTGCAAAGGATCCGCGAGAGAAGAGAAGGTAAGTCGTGTCCTATCTGGGTTTTCTCTTACGCTAAGACCCAGAAAAAAATTCAAACTTTTTTTTTCCAATCGTCGTTTGATACTAGCTTCAGTTTTGAATTCAACTGATCACGTTTCGGTTAAATATTGACTCTGGCATTTATCGCCTAAAAACTCTTACGCCGGTTCATCGCTCGAATAATATTGCATAGTGTTCGTATTCTTCAAGTTACTTCTTGTCCTTTCGTTTGAAAGTTTAATACAGTCGTGGTGTTATGGGAAAAGAAGTTATCTTACGTATTTTGTTTTGCCTAGAAAGTTTTCAAATAATGTCAAACGGCGAGCGCAAGTTTCTACTTTTTTTCTCTTCAGTTAATTATCCGTTCATTTGAAAAATTTGCGCTTTGCCGAAGATGTGTTGTTTTACCCTTAGAACGAAGTGATGGCCTTTCCCAAAATTAAAATAAAATGGGATTGAGTAAGCGATGTTCATGTCTATATTAAGTCTAACGCGGTAATTTGATTTTAAAGATATTGTCATGTGAGAACCCGTCAAACATCTGAGAATCAAATTACGGACCGCAAATGTGTGGTGCAAACAAACTCACGGGTAAAATGGAGATGGTTCTACAGCGGGATGTGTGAATTTAATTGTTTGGTTGTCGTACTTTTCAGCGCTATGTTTTCATGCTTTCTACTCGATTCGTTCGAACTTCAGGAAATGGTTTGTGTCACAAAACATGGAGCCACTTTCTCTTCGCTCAACATCTCGAGGCGTTATGATGAACATGCTTGCGATACGATATTTTTTCCTCATGCTGGAAACTGAAGAATTAATCTCTAAAATTGGTAGTCTTCACGTTTTGCAAGAAGCGTCCGAGCTGCGATCGTGCAATTAAACGGGGTTCTGGCAATTTGACCTCACAAGTGCACTGGTAAGCACATGGTTCGCGTAAATAATTGTTGTAGCTACCTGCCCCGAAGAGGCGTAGCTACTTATGTTACGATCTGTGTAAGTAAGTCCGTCCGTAACCCTTTCAATATCCGTTCGTGTAGCCCTGATCTTCTGATAGTTTTCGTAGCCAATCAGAGTGCGTTGTGATAGTTTTCGTTGCCAATCAGAGTGCGTCCGTAAGCGCCTAATTCTCGGGTAGTGTTCGTGGCCAATCAGAGCATCGACGGTTGGTTGTCGGCCCCTTATTTATCCAAGTGTCTTTTCCAAGTGCTTGTGCTTCAACACGGACTCCGATTCATCTAGGGTGAGCGAGTATCTATGTTATTTACAATGATTTCTTACTATTTTTCATCAATAACCGGGCACGGATTTCCAAGAATCTGCGAAGTGTTTGTTCGTAAGGATTTTTCCAGGTTTTTGACGTTCTTTGGAAATTTTATAGCGAGAAGACGACCACTGAATCGAAGTGTTTGTTTGGCTGCCATGATGATCGAATGACTTGTGCAGTTCAACGCTGTCAGTGGCGTTATGTAAATCGTTTGGCTCTCCATCTTGAAGTGTCAAAAAAGTTCCTTTAGGGAACGTTGAATTTCCTTCGGGAAACACAAAATGTCTTTCGAGACACAAATAATTTCCTTCGGGAAACGCAATATGTCTTTCGAGACACGACTAATTTCCTTCGGGAAACACGAGATGTCTTTCGAGACACGAAAACTCTTGTTGAAAGTGTGAAATGCTGCCATGCATATTTAACGAAAACTGTGCCTAGTTATGAATACATGATTACCAACTGTGATGTAATCAGTAGCGATTAATGTGTAAGTCGCGTACATATGTATTGTAAATGCAAGCAAAAGGATAGTCGTTCTGGACTACATTTGCAAAAATCAGGTTGCAGAATAAGAGATCAGGAGCCATCCAGGGTATCTTTAAGGAAAGTGATACGTAAATTGAGGTGCAGAAAACTAAGAAAGAAGAACAAGAAAATGCTGAAAAACGCAGTTCTAGTTTCTTCTGATTTACATAGCATTGCAGCAAAATATAAACAGTGGAATATCAGGTATATTCAGAAGCAAGAGAGTTTCTTCAGTAAATATTTTTTAACAAGTAAGAGATCTACTGTTACATACAATGTGTCATATAAACACATTTTACTGTCTGGAGATATTGAATCAAATCCAGGTCCTGTATCAAATAACAGAACAATATGCAATGGAGGATCTAATTCTCTGTTGAATTATAGATTACTTAGGTATCAGTTAAGACCACTAGATGTTGGTGGAGGGGGTGACTGCTTCTTTAGATCAGTATCTCATCAGGTATATGGTGATTCAAGTCATCACCATGAAGTTAGAGCAGCCGGTGTTCAGTATCTTAGAGACAATCCTGAACGATTTATAGAAAGCATAGTAGATACATCATGGTTGCGGTATATATTTTATATGTCTTTGGAAGGAACATGGGCTGATCACATTATTATACAAGCTGTAGCCGATGCACTAAATTTAGGGATCCACATCATAGAGTCAAGTGACAATTTTAGAGATATGAGTTTGGTAGAAGCAGTAAATACCACAAATGATCAAAGATCCATATATATAGCACACATAGGTGAGATTCACTACATTTCAACATGTTCAGAATTTTCTGAAAGGAATTCAAATCAAATTGACACAGGGGACTTGTGAATTGATTCTTGTAAATCCACTGAAAGCATCCAAAAAAGAAAGTGCAGTTCTAACATAACAGAGTGCAAAAAGAAAAGATTGTCAGAAAATGGCATCAACAGTGAAAATGCTTACAATACTATTGGTGAATGTCAAACAAGCAAAAC